GTGTCTCTGTGCCCTGCCACCTTTCTCATACTAATGCTCACCACATCCCATAGCCCTTGATGCCTTCTCAACTTTCTGCCAAATCGAAACCTAGGGTTCCCTGGGTCATACTTTAATGGTTGTTGGGATTCAATGGTATATAGACAAAAAGGACGGTTCTGATGTTCCCACGATCACCTACAGTGGCTAATGACATAACTGTGGCCCTTAGGCACACTGTCCTTGACAGATAAGAGCACCCTTGTCCAAAACGCCTGGAAGGCTACTCACCCCTCCCACAGTGGTCAGTGATGACTCAGGGGTAGAAATAATGCCTCCCTGACACAAGAGGGGACAATTTTGCTGAGTGGTTTATACTCAAGGGCACCGGTCCTGCCCCCTCCACCCCCCTCACACATACACCACTGCTTTCTACTGTATAAATCAGACCAAGGCTAGATTTTATGATAGCACACCCTTACTCAGCCTTCTCCCTGCCCCATCCTGCTACTTATCTTCTTCTGGAATATTACTCCAAAAAAGCAGATGTGCCCAGATCACATGCAGTAAGAAACGAATGGGGAAATGTACATAGAAATGTACATAGGTATAGAGTAGTCAGTAACTGCTACTTCCTATCCTCCAAATGGTTATGAGACTAAGGCTATAATCATTTGCTCACACTAACCTCTGTAAAAGACTTTTATCACATTATTATTTAAAAGAATGGAACTGAAAATGTTTAAATATTTCATAATAGAAATTTGTAGGTAATCTACAGTATATCCTAGGATAGAATACGCAGTCACCAAGCTAAAGAGAAAACCCTGGTGAGGGGAAGTACATTAAGATACAGGAAGGTACATAGCTTGTGAAATGCCACTACCAAGTCCTACATCCTGACAGAGTAGGGCCAGCTCTGAACTTCCTCACGGGCAAGAGAGAACAAAGCCTAGCCACAGGATGACTGTACTGTGTCCACAGGTAAAAATGAGCGCAGGGACCTGGGGAAGCACAGCTATTCCTGTAGTCCTAACTCTCGGACGGAAGAGCCATTTCTCCCACGGGAGGACTCTGTACAAGATAATGACCAGGTCACCAACCACATCCTTTCAGTTACCATAGGGACGAGCTCCCTAGGTCTGGCCCCTGAGGAAACCCCCTCAATAGGAAGATGACATCATGGCACAATTTTTAGGGTGTAGATCCTGGGCTTTTGTGGCCTCCCTCTACCCTTAGAACTCCTAAAAGCTTTAAGCAGCAGAGTTTGAGATGACCTCTTGGAATGTTCTAGAAACAGCACCATTCTAGATGGCTCTCTATGCTTCAGTTGCCCCTAAGATGGCAAGGTTGGCACAATCCTATCAAAACCATTGAGCCCAGCAGGATTGTGCCTGAACAGACGGCTGCCACCAGCTTGAAAGTACTCTTAATGCCCTCAGAAGGCTTCTCCAGAGGTGAGGGAAGGGCGTTGGTGGGTGAATCCTACAGCAGCTGCCTCACTCCTCGGGGTAAGATTCTGAGGGGTGTCCACAGAGCCTCTCTCTCTCTAGGATCTGGGGCAGGCAGGGCCTGAGGTGCCCACAGTGGTCACCTGCTCACCAGTTACTCAGCCTGCTCAACAAGTATGTTGTCCTATCTTCATCCCTCTGTTGTCCAAACTCACTATTCCTACATCCTGCCTCCTAAAATCACTCTCCAGATAAACTACCTGCACCTACACCACTGTGTCAGGGGCTGCTTTTGGGGGAGTCCAAACTAGGAGGGTTAACAGACTTCATGATTTCTCATATACCAGAGGAGGGCAAGCTGGCTGGGTATAGAATTCTTAATTCACAGGAACATATTCTAATTTTTGATATTAATGTTACAGAGAAGAAGTCTATATAGAAATGGTTTGTTTTCTGTAAGATATTAGTAGTGTCATTTTAATATCCTTAAAAGTAAAAGTTTCATGCAGCTATGTGTAGACACTAAACTGTTCTCAGTATTTTTGCTTGGTATTTGCAGCACCCATACAAGAAATGGAGATCCCTTTCTGCTGTCTGCTCATGTCTTTTGTCCCAGTTATTCTGGAACCATTTCTCTTTGCTGATTCTCTGGTCTCTACCTTTCTTATCTATAGTCTTCAGGGTCATCCTTCCTTTTTTCTTTCTCTGAATTCTTGAGGCCTTCTCAAATATGCCCTGTCCAACAAGGATCAATTTCCTATATTGCTAATTCTTCTCTTTCCTGATTAAAACATATATTTTAATTCTGTCATTGCTTTCCTGGTTTCATTATAACATTTCCTTATCCCATCTGCAACCTGTATTTTTGCTTGACTCTCAGTCCATTCCGTTTCATCGCAGTTGTGGGTTCCACTACCTGATCTCTTGCTCTGCTCACTTTTTTTCCTTCAATTTCATTAAGAACAAAGGCAGACACTCTATAAAATTTACTTTCATTTTTAATTAATTATCTTTTAAAAGGTATGCTTTCCTTGTGTGCTTCGAGTTACATTTTTCTTAGTTTACATGTTAGAGTCCTTGTAGGGTCCCGTGTTGGTTCTGTTAGGTCTGTGCAGGGTGCACCTGGGCGCCACTGGAATCTAGCTCTGGTCTAAATGATGCCATTACATCCCCACTTGCAGCTGAGGTTGCAGCCATAGGAGGGGAATTTTTGGTCTTGTACCTTCTCCTGCCATGCCGAGGGGCAACTTGCCTGTCTGCCCCTCCAGGTGGTCCTGCCTCCACAGCAGCTATGCGGTGTCTCTGTGCCCTGCCACCTTTCTCATACTAATGCTCACCACATCCCATAGCCCTTGATGCCTTCTCAACTTTCTGCCAAATCGAAACCTAGGGTTCCCTGGGTCATACTTTAATGGTTGTTGGGATTCAATGGTATATAGACAAAAAGGACGGTTCTGATGTTCCCACGATCACCTACAGTGGCTAATGACATAACTGTGGCCCTTAGGCACACTGTCCTTGACAGATAAGAGCACCCTTGTCCAGAACGCCTGGAAGGCTACTCACCCCTCCCACAGTGGTCAGTGATGACTCAGGGGTAGAAATAATGCCTCCCTGACACAAGAGGGGACAATTTTGCTGAGTGGTTTATACTCAAGGGCACCGGTCCTGCCCCCTCCACCCCCCTCACACATACACCACTGCTTTCTACTGTATAAATCAGACCAAGGCTAGATTTTATGATAGCACACCCTTACTCAGCCTTCTCCCTGCCCCATCCTGCTACTTATCTTCTTCTGGAATATTACTCCAAAAAAGCAGATGTGCCCAGATCACATGCAGTAAGAAAGGAATGGGGAAATGTACATAGAAATGTACACAGGTATAGAGTAGTCAGTAACTGCTACTTCCTATCCTCCAAATGGTTATGAGACTAAGGCTATAATCATTTGCTCACACTAACCTCTGTAAAAGACATTTATCACATTATTATTTAAAAGAATGGAACTGAAAATGTTTAAATATTTCATAATAGAAATTTGTAGGTAATCTACAGTATATCCTAGGATAGAATACACAGTCACCAAGCTAAAGAGAAAACCCTGGTGAGGGGAAGTACATTAAGATACAGGAAGGTACATAGCTTGTGAAATGCCACTACCAAGTCCTACATCCTGACAGAGTAGGGCCAGCTCTGAACTTCCTCACGGGCAAGAGAGAACAAAGCCTAGCCACAGGATGACTGTACTGTGTCCACAGGTAAAAATGAGCGCAGGGACCTGGGGAAGCACAGCTATTCCTGTAGTCCTAACTCTGGGACGGAAGAGCCATTTCTCCCACAGGAGGACTCTGTACAAGATAATGACCAGGTCACCAACCACATCCTTTCAGTTACCATAGGGACGAGCTCCCGAGGTCTGGCCCCTGAGGAAACCCCCTCAATAGGAAGATGACATCATGGCACAATTTTTAGGGTGTAGATCCTGGGCTTTTGTGGCCTCCCTCTACCCTTAGAACTCCTAAAAGCTTTAAGCAGCAGAGTTTGAGATGACCTCTTGGAATGTTCTAGAAACAGCACCATTCTAGATGGCTCTCTATGCTTCAGTTGCCCCTAAGATGGCAAGGTTGGCACAATCCTATCAAAACCATTGAGCCCAGCAGGATTGTGCCTGAACAGACGGCTGCCACCAGCTTGAAAGTACGCCCAGCACTCGTCTGTGGGCCTGAAGAAGGTTTTCCGTAGAAAGTGATTTTGGTTTCATTTTAACAATGACATCCAAGAGTTCAATGCTCTAAACACTGAAAAGCTACAAAAATTGCCATGGAACATCTGACAACAGAACAACCAGCAGGTAGCATAAGGTTTATCTGAGTCCACTCATTCCTTCCATTTCCACTGAGGAGGCTCCTTCTTTCTTCCCAAAGGTGGTTCATCGAGGCAGATTATGAGGCAGGGGAGAATACCAGCAACTCTCTCCTTTCTGGGTCATGCTCACTGAACTTCAATTCGTTGAAATAAATTAATTCACTCTAAAAAAACTCAGTTCACAGAAATGATTCGATTTCTACAATTCACTCAAATATGTCAGGAATAAATAAATCTGCCCAAACATAGGCTGACGTACACGACCCTCTCCTGAAACCATCAAGGGTATTACTAGTGATAACAAGTATGGTAACAGTGATCTGTCCTCATTTCTTACCTTGTTTTACACAACTAATGACCTAAAACTGGAATTCTCTAGAACATGTCTGTGCTGGAGATGGTGACTATACTCTGGAAAAGGGGCCAGACATAAAACTGTAGAGAGAGGATTCCACAGGAGAGAACAGATGGGAGACAATGTAAGATACAGATACTGCTCCAGCACTCCAAGTATTTAGAGTTTCTTCTTTGGCTGTACCAACAAACTGTCTAAGGCCAGGAGGAAATACCTCTAAGAGTTCCAAATGATACACCACATAACACAGCAGTCTCTGCAGAATCACTATACAGCCCAAGCTACGATGAATGCCAGCAAATGTACCAGATGGAACAACATTTGTCTCTCAGGTTCCCTCCTTACTTACCTTCTGCCACATGTTGATGAAGAAGAGCTCCCGGGAAACATTGAAGGACACATTGGCATCATAGGCATCATCCCCAAGGTTGGAGATGGAGATGTTTAGGGAGATGTTCTTCACAGCCCCCAGAGCTAGATATGGGGTCTTCTCATCAATGCTACAATGAGAAACAAACAGCAATGAATGCCCTGAAGCTTTCACTAATATAACATGAGGCATCAGGCATTAGCTGAGGGTGGGGGGCAGAAACTCCACTGGGATCAGAACTGCAAGTCACAGGAACCCCCATTCATCAGCCATGTGTCCTCAGAAATCTGTTAGCTCCCCCTTGGCCTCAGTTTCCTCACCTAAGCACAGGGTGTTCTGTGTTGCCTAACTCACTAGGCTGTTCTGGGTCCACATGACATCTTGTATATCAAACGTGGAAAATGACAAGACATTTACTAACTTAGACATGGAATTTAGTTACACATTAATTCATCCAAATATTTTTGAGCACCCAATACATGACAATCCCCAGTTAACAAGAGTTCCTGCCTTCTTGTAGCTCAGAGAGGCAGAAAACTACATAAGGAAGCAAACACACAAGTCTGATTATGATAAGAGCTACGGAGAAAACTTACGAAGAGTAAGAAGGCTAGAGAGCCCTGGATTTTTGGAGGGACAGAGGATTGTGGTCTTAAACAGGGTAGTTAGGGAAGCGTCACTGATGAGATGATCTGTCAGGCGAAGCCTGAGAGAAGAAAGGGAGAGAGGTATGGAGGTATCTGGGAACTAGCAAAGGAAAAGTGCCTGGCATGTTCAAGGACTACAGGGAGGCCAGTGTGGCTAAGAAGAGTGAGAAAACGGGAGAGGGGGAGGAGAGAGGAGAGAGGAAGGAGTGGGGGCAGGCAGATCATGCAGGGTGTTGCTGGGCCATAGCAGAGACCTTGGTTTGACTCTAAGATAATTCCCTGCAGGGCTCTGAGCAGAGAAGTGGGTGGCCTGACTTCTATGCTGAAAGGCTCACAATAGCTGTGATGTGAACAGTCCAGGGGTGGGTGGGTGAGTGGTCAGGGGCAAAGCAGAGAATCTGGTTCGGAAGGTCTTGTAATAACCCAGGTGTGAGAAGATGGCAGCTCAGACCATGGTGGGAGAAGCTGAGGTAGTGAGAAGAGGTCATATTCTGAATGTGTCATTAGGTTATGCCTACACATTCTGTGCATGGGTTGGAGGAGGGATATTAAGGACAAGGGTCAAGAATGGCTTCAAGGATTTCACATGCAACAATTGGAAGGGGAGAGTTGTATTTATTGATGTGGGAAAGACTGTAGGTACAGGAGGTGTAGCAGAGAAAATCCAAACGCCCCGTGCAGTTTTAAGAAGAGAGGCTGAGACAGTTTGATGCATGCGTCTGGAGTTAGTGGAGGGCCTGGGCTGGAGACCCTTACATTTGGGATGGATTAGATAATAGATAATTTGGGATTAGCTATGATCACTAGGGGAAAAGCATGCAGGCAGAGAAGAGGTCTCAGGAGTTGAGGAAAAGCCAGCAAAGGAGACCGAGAAAGGGTGACGAGGGAGAAAGGGTGGCGAGGGAGACGGAAAAACCAAGGGAGATGGTATCCAAGGGGCCACACAAGACAGGTTTCAATTTTGTCAAATGTGGCCCATCAGTCAAAATAACATAAAGAATTAGAACTGGCCACTGGAATTAGCCATCTGGAGGTCACCAGGGCTAACCTGCTCTTGAAAGAGCTGCTTAAGGGGAGTGATGGGATAAAAGCTTGATTGGAACTGGTCTAAGAGATGTAGGAGTAGAATGTATGGAAACAGTGAAGACATCAACGACTTGCAGTTTTTTGGTAAAGGGGAGCAGAAATAGGATGATAGCTCAAGAGGGAAGTGGGCTGAAGAGAATTTTTTTAAGGTGAAAACTATCACAGTGTATTTGCATGAAAATGGAAAGGATCTACTAGAGAGGGAACAATGCATAACAGGGCAGGGGCAGTGGCTGGATGGCCTGAACTCAACCGGTTCAAGGTGAGAAGGTGGAGCATACAGCATGGATGCATTAGGAGATGGGAGTTAGGAACAAGCAGAGGTACCCTTGTGATTACTTCCATTTTTCAGTGAAACAGATGGAAATAGGGTCAAAGACTAAAAGGGAGAAGGGGAGGCAGGAATGGCAACCCAGGAGAGCGGGGGAGTGCGTGGGTCACCACTGGGGCAATGATGGGGATGGGGATGATGATGGCGAGGGTGGGGAGGATGTGATGGGGGTGATGGGGAGGATGTGATGGGGGTGATGGGGAAGACGGGGATGGGGCAGATGGGATGGGGAGGATGGTTATTATGGTGATGTGTGCTTTGGACAAAATAAATTCACACTAGTGACCAATGTGATTGGCCAACTAGTTAACAGAAGGTGTCATTAAGCATATGAGGGCTCATGTAATGGACAGTTGGTATTTTTGGCTGCTCAGCCTCCTGACGCCTTCCTGTTTGGGAGCAACCTCAAGATAGGTGGAGGGGCCATCAGAAGAATGGGGGGCGGGCACTCCCTCTCCCCTCCTCTTGGTCACTAAAGTGTAAGCACCTGAGTGCAGTCATGTGGTCTAAGAGGGGAATCAAGGGGCCTCAGTGTGGTGAACAAATGCTCTCACTGGGGGCCATTAATTTTGAGGGCTGCACCAAGAAACCAGGGCCCTCTGAGATCACCAAGGCAGTTACAGAGAGCTTGAGAGCCCAGAGGTGGCATCCTGAACTAAGCCTTGCCGCCCATTCCTGTCCATGTCTGTCTTCCAGGCTTCCTGCCTATGTTCTAAACCAGGCCACATCCTTCCAAGAAATTCCTTTCCTGCTTAAATTAACCAGCATGTTTGCCACTGTTTGCTAACCATTAATATGGCTAATATAGCATGAAGAGAACTGTCCAAAATCTCTATAGGCTCTGACACTTTGAAATACAGATTTTTGGGGTAGGAGTCATCATTGCCCATCCATGGAGAGAGGGCCCCACATCCCTGCACGCCTGGCACATGAACAAGAATAACACGTGCAACGAGAGATCTGATGGCCTTGCTTTTGGAAGCAAGAGCTCTAAGGATCCAAACAAGATGTGAAAAATGAACTTAGAGAAAAGTCTCAAATTCTTGAATGGCCTCCAATAAATTAAGACCCTGACCTCAAGCTATTGTGGCAATTATTTATTATTGTTGGCCATTTTCATTTTAAACAATTGATGGGTTATTTCTGTCCTCCTGTTTGCTTTTGGAAGATTAAAGGAATAATCCTGAGGAGTAACGAGAGAGGGCTAACCTCATTTTATCTCGAAAGGCAATGCATAAGCCCTCCCAAGAGGCCCAGTCATCCCAGAGGGCGCCCATTGTTTCCAAAGGGAACATGAAGCAGAGAGATGATGTAGAAAGTGCAGGGTGAGGTGTAGGACGGCCACCTCTTTGAGGCTTTGTTGCTCATGACCAGCCTCCTTTCTCCATGTGTAAATGGCAAGGGGTCAGGACAGGGGTGTCTAACCTTCTGCCAGCCCCCAAGCTCAGGCCTCTGTCACTTAATCACGCCACAAGGTGGTTCCTGGGTTTTCAGAGTGAAGTGATTCAGGCATGGCCCCATGATGAAGGGAAGCCAGCCACCTTCAGGGCAGAAAGTGAACTCATACTTTTAAAAAAGAGGCCCTAAAGCTGTTTTCACTCTTTTTCCACACCTAAAAACCTATGTCTAAAATAGTACATCCCTGCCTCCAGAGCTATTCTTAGAAATGAAATGTAATTGGTCTGGTGCTGGGCACTTTCAAACACGCCGTCCTTCTGAAACCATACAACACATGACAGCTTCCTGATGTTAGTCCCACTTTCAGAGGTGAGGAATCACAAGGGAGAAACAAGGCGACTGACCCAGGAACTGTGCTGGGGTTAGAACTCAGGGCCTCCTGTGCCTTCAAAGCCCACCCCTCTCCATCATAGCCACGTTCTCCAGTGGGCCTTTCTGATCCCCCTCTTGGGTGAGAGAATCTCCCTATCATGAGCTTCACCAGCCCCATGCGCCCCACTAACCCTTCACAGTGCTTCCCGAGGCTGTCACGACAAGTCTGCTTGGTTAAGGACTGTCTCGCCCCCGTCAGGATCAAAGCGTCAGGGAACAGGAACCCCTCCCTGTCTGATTTTGCTCATCATTGAACTTCAGGGATAGAGCTGTGCCTGGCACATAGTAGGTGTTCAATGGACCCTTGTGGAATGAACGAATGAACACGTGCAATATCCTGACAACAGATCATCAGCTCAGCCTTTGCACTTCACAGGGGAAGAAGCTGAGCCCCCAGAGGGGAACCCGCTTTGATCTAGGTCACCAGCCACGCAGGAGCTGAGCTGGATGGAGTTAGTGCCAAACTTCCTTGGTGTGAGGCTGCCTGACTAGCTCCTATATAAACACCACCTCAGTTGCCGAGGGCTTTGCCAAGAAATATCTTTTAAAGAACGGGACCCCACGAAGCCAATCCCTCTAATAGCCTTGCTGAGAGAGTAAAACGATCAGGTACAGTGGTTTGTGCCAAACCTTCCATGGGTGCTTATTCATAAAAGCACAATCTTTCTAGTTTTCAAGGAATTTTATTCCTGAGAAATCTTCCCATTAAATCTGATTTGCTCGTTGAGTCTTTTAAGTGGGCCCTTTTAGTTCTCACACCAATCACTCTGGTGTACTTTTGTAGGAAAATTATGATTAATAGTCAACATAAGATAAAAACCATACAGTTTCTATAAAGCTTATCTGACAGCATATATGCAGCCTGCTCCTTGGTTATCAAAAATATCAAATGTAAGTGTCCTAATCATTGTAGGGCAGCCATTTTTTAAATGCTGGGTTTATATTTAAGTGTAGCACCAGTTCATCCACACGCCAGATGCTGCCATCCCGGAAGCGTGTGTTGCCTGAGGACCACCGCAGAACGGGCTCCCTGAGCTCACTCAGCACCACGTGTTAAGAGGAGGGCGTACCTCTCAGAGTGCCTTCCCCAGTAAACACAACACATTTCCATGTCAATCATGGGATGCTGAAACCCTAAGGCCATTAAAGCCGATTGTTCTCTGCCATCACAGAAGCAATTTTATACAGATAACTTTTTGTGAAGATGCTAAGGGAAGAAACCAAAGTACTTAATGG